GCAGTTTTTAGTTTTGGATATGTTTTTTATGGATTTTAACTGAATTTTTAAAATACCAATGATATTTAATTCCATTTTAATGTTTGCATATTTGTGGATTTTAAACTGTACTGAAATGTTTTTAATCTAAGCCAACTTGAGTCTTCTTGGGGAGAGAAAAAGGAGGGTATAAATAAACATAATAATGTGTTGTGGAAGGCTTTCATGGCCAGAATCACTGAGTTGCTGTGAGTTTGCTGGGCTGTATGGCCATGTTCCAGAAGCATTCTCTCCTGACATTTTCCCCACATCTATGGCAGGCAACCTCAGAGGAACAAAATCTGGCTACCAGTACCCTCTAAAATAACCCTCTAAAATCAGAACAATAAATAAAGAGAAACACTAAAAAAGGGGGGAATTCCTGACATGAAGCAATCAGGGCCAGTTAACCGCTCCCAACAAAGGATTCCTGGGCAGCAACTAGCTCGGCTTCGAAGCTGCAAGGCCATTAAATATTCATCAAGATGACCAATTGCAACATTCACACTTACCTCAAGCAGACATGAGTTCTTTTTCCCACCCTGGACATTCCACAGATATACAAACCCCACTTGCCTAGTTACAAACAGACCTCACAGCCTCTTGGGGATGCCTGCCATAGATGTGGGTGAAACATCAGGTGAGAATGCTTCACCAAGCACCAAAGAGCATTCTGAACTCCACCAATAATAGAACTGAACCAAACTTGGCATACAGGACTTCCATGACTAAAAGAAAATACTGGAGAGGGGGTTGGGAAAAATAGACCCTGACATTTGGGAATTGCAGTTTACCAAGCACCAAAGAACATTCTGAGCTCCACCAACAATAGAATTGAACCAAACTTGGCATACAGGACTTCCATGACTAACAGAAAATACTGGAGAGGGGGTTGGGAAAAATAGACCCTGACATTTGGGAATTGCAGTTTACCAAGCACCAAAGAACATTCTGAGCTCCATCAACAATAGAATTGAACCAAACTTGGCATACAGGACTTCCATGACTAACAGAAAATAATGGAGAGGGGGTTGGGAAAAATAGACCCTGACATTTGGGAATTGCAGTTTACCAAGCACCAAAGAACATTCTGAGCTCCACCAACAATAGAATTGAACCAAACTTGGCATACAGGACTTCCATGACTAACAGAAAAGACTGGAGAGGGGGTTGGGAAAAATAGACCCTGACATTTGGGAATTGCAGTTTACCAAGCACCAAAGAACATTCTGAGCTCCACCAACAATAGAATTGAACCAAACTTGGCATACAGGACTTCCATGACTAACAGAAAATACTGGAGAGGGGGTTGGGAAAAATACACCCTGACATTTGGGAATTGCAGTTTACCAAGCACCAAAGAACATTCTGAGCTCCACCAACAATAGAATTGAACCAAACTTGGCATACAGGACTTCCATGACTAACAGAAAATACTGGAGAGGGGGTTGGGAAAAATAGACCCTGACATTTGGGAATTGCAGTTTACCAAGCCCCAAAGAACATTCTGAGCTCCACCAACAATAGAATTGAACCAAACTTGGCATACAGGACTTCCATGACTAACAGAAAATAATGGAGAGGGGGTTGGGAAAAATAGACCCTGACATTTGGGAATTGCAGTTTACCAAGCACCAAAGAACATTCTGAGCTCCACCAACAATAGAATTGAACCAAACTTGGCATACAGGACTTCCATGACTAACAGAAAATATGGAGAGGGGGTTGGGAAAAATAGACCCTGACATTTGGGAATTGCAGTTTACCAAGCACCAAAGAACATTCTGAGCTCCACCAACAATAGAATTGAACCAAACTTGGCATGCAGGACTTCCATGACTAACAGAAAATATGGAGAGGGGGTTGGGAAAAATAGACCCTGACATTTGGGAATTGCAGTTTACCAAGCACCAAAGAACATTCTGAGCTCCACCAACAATAGAATTGAACCAAACTTGGCATACAGGACTTCCATGACTAACAGAAAATACTGGAGAGGGGGTTGGGAAAAATAGACCCTGACATTTGGGAATTGCAGTTTGACCAAGCACCAAAGAACATTCTGAGCTCCAACAACAATAGAATTGAACCAAACTTGGCATACAGGACTTCCATGACTAACAGAAAATACTGGAGAGGGGGTTGGGAAAAATAGACCCTGACATTTGGGAATTGCAGTTTACCAAGCACCAAAGAACATTCTGAGCTCCACCAACAATAGAATTGACCCAAACTTGGCATACAGGACTTCCATGACTAACAGAAAATATGGAGAGGGGGTTGGGAAAAATAGACCCTGACATTTGGGAATTGCAGTTTACCAAGCACCAAAGAACATTCTGAGCTCCACCAACAATAGAATTGAACCAAACTTGGCATACAGGACTTCCATGACTAACAGAAAATACATGGAGAGGGGGTTGGGAAAAATAGACCCTGACATTTGGGAATTGCAGTTTACCAAGCACCAAAGAACATTCTGAGCTCCACCAACAATAGAATTGAACCAAGCTTGGCATATAGGACTTCCATTACCAAATACTAGAGGGGTTTGGGGGAGGCATGTACAAAAGATGACATTTGCAGTACCTTTTGACCAGGCCTCCTTGCTGCCCTGAGAGGGGTCCAGACTCAGCTGCAGGGAAGGAAAGGGAAAGCAAAAGAGCCTGGCTGGCTGCCTCCTGGCAGCACCTGGAGGGAGGACTTCCCTCTCGCCTAGTGGGCGGGGCCTGCGCTTCTCCATTAGAAGGCTGTTGAGGGCGCATGGGGCCTCCAGGAGGAGGCGTGGCCTAAGGACAAAACAGCGCCCCCTGGCAAAAAAAGTATTCTGCCACCGCTTACTTCGAGTAATGGACAGGCCGGCCCTGACAGTAAGGCATATGAAGAAAGATCTGGGGGTCAAACAAAAAAAACACTTGGACTTGGAATATTGTGTCCAATTCTGGGCACCGCAATTGAAGGGAGATGTTGACAAGCTGGAATGTGTCCAGAGGTGACTAAAATGATCAAGGGTCTGGAGAACAAGCCCTATGAGGAGCAGCTTAAAGAGCTGGGTATGTTTTGCCTGAAGAAGAGAAGGCTGAGAGGAGACATGATAACCATGTATAAGTATGTGAAGGGAAGTCATAGGGAGGAGGGAGCTGCCCTGGAGACTAGGATGCGGAACAATGGCTTTAAACTACAAGAAAGGAGATTCCATCTGAACATTGGGAAGAATTTCCTGACTGTGAGAGCTGTTCAGCAGTGGAACTCTCTGCCCCGGAGTGTGGTGGAAGCTCCTTCTTTGGAGGCTTTTAAACAGAGGCTGGGTGGCCATCTGTCTGGGGTGCTTTATATGCAATTTTCCTGCTTCTTGGCAGGGGGTTGGACTGGATGGCCCATGAGGTCCCTTCCAATTCTATGATTCTACTAGCCGTCCCCTGCCATGCGTTGCTATGGCCAGCCTGTGTATATGTGTTTTGTGTGTGTATATATACACATATTTTTTTTTTGGCTTTTAAAATCTTTTCTGCTGTGTTTTTCAGTGTTTTATGAGTGATGGTCACTCATTGGCCTGATAGGTGTATTGTGTCTAAATTTGGTGTCAATTAATCCAGTGGTTTTTTAGTTATGTTAATCCTACAAACTAACATTACATTTTTATTTATATAGCTGACTCGTAGCCATCCTTCATTTCACTTAGGCGATCCCTCGTTTGCTGAGTAGGATAGTCTTCCAGGGGCAGTATTCTTGTGGATTCGTAGATGGCTGTGGAGACCTATTCTTGATCTGCATCTTCTTCCGCAGTGAGGGCATTGGTTTCCAGGTGGAAAGGCGGTCCCGGTCGGGGTTGGCTTGACATGCCCTTAGAAAAAGGCCGGCAGTTTGTACCCCTTTTCACCTGAAATTTGCTTTGCCATAAGCAAAGGTGGGAGATACACTGGCCCCTTTCACATTATATAATTATAACTCTGAGGTTGCATTTTAACTCTCATGGAAACATTCTATAGAATTATAAGGTTTGTAGTTTGTCACTGTTCTCTGGTCACTGTTCTCTTGGCACGTTTCTCTCTTTCACCCTCCATATGTGCCTCTTCAAATTCTGCAGCACTGCTGGTCACAGCTGACCTCCAGCTGGAGTGCTCAAGAGCCAGGGCTTCCCAGTTTTCAGTGTCTATGCCAGAGTTTTTAAGGTTGGGTTTGAGCCCATCTTTAAATCTCTTTTCCTTTCCACCAACATTCCGTTTTCCATTCTTGAGTTCGGAGTAGAATCATAGAATCATAGAATCAAAGAGTTGGAAAAGACCTCATGGGCCATGAGTAGAGCAACTGCTTTGGGAGACAGTGGTCGGGCATCCGGATAACATGGTTGGTCCAGCGAAGTTGATGGCGGAGGACCATGACTTCAATGCTGGTGGTCTTTGTTTCTTCCAGCATGCTGACGTTTGTCTGCCTGTCTTCCCAAGAGATTTGCAGGCTTTTCCGGAGACAGCGCTGATGGAATAATTCCAGGAGTTGCATGTGATGTCTGTAGACAGTCCACGTTTCTCAGGCATAGAGCAGGGTTGGGAGGACGATAGCTTTATAAACAAGCATCTTGATATCCTTACGGATGTCCCAGTCCTCAAACACTCTCTGCTTCATTCGGAAAAATGCTGCGCTCGCAGAGCTCAGGTGGTGTTGTATTTCTGTGTCGATGTTGACTTTGGTAGAGAGGTGGCTACCAAGGTAGCGGAAATGGTCAACATTTTCTAATGTGACACCATTAAGCTGTATCTCTGGCATTGGAAAGGGGTTGGCTGGTGTCTGCTGGAACAGCACTTTGGTTTTCTCGATGTTCAATGACAGGCCGAGCTTCTCGTATGCTTCTGCAAAGGTGTTTAGAGTGGCTTGTAGGTCTTAGCCATCCAATAACCCCGTTGTCCTGTAGGTGGCGCTACCGCAGAAGCCTCCAGATTACTTTGTGCTGCACCCTTCTGCTTTCCTCTCTCTTGTTCCGGTTCCATTTGGAAGAGGAGGAGGCGAATGGCGTGCAAGGAAGGCAGCGTGCCTGCGACGGTGTCCCAAGACCTCCTTTCTGTGGGGAGCCGAGGAGGTAGCTGAGGAGGAGGGAGAAAGCATCCTGCATATTAGCTCTCACCCTTTCCCCATTCCTTTGGCTTCATTACTCAGTATCCAGCTTTTACAGCTGTTGGTGCCCCCTCTACACTGTAGAATTGATGCAGTTTGATCCCACTTTAACTACCATGGCTCAATACTATGGAATCAGGAGCTGTTGTAGTTTTACGAGATCTTTAGCCTTCTCTGGCAAACCTTTAGCCTTCTCTGCCTGGTGCCTTACCAAACTACAACTCTCATTATCCCATAGCATTGAGCCAGTTGAAATTATATCGAACTGCATTAATTCTACAGTGTAGAGCAGGCATGGGCAAACTTGGGCCCTCCAGGTGTTTTGGACTTCAACTCCCACAATTCCTAACAGCCTACTGGCTGTTAGGAATTGTGGGAGTTGAAGTCCAAAACACCTGGAGGGCCCAAGTTTGCCCATACCTAGTGTAGAGGGCACCTAAAGTCTTATACATTTAATTTTTGTTTGCATCAGGAATGACTTGAGAAACTACAAGTCACTTCTGATGTGAGAGAATGGGCCGTCTGTAAGGATGTTGCCCAGGGGACGCATGGATGTTTTGGTGTTTTACATCCTTGTGGGAGTCTTCTCTCTTATCCCCGCATGGAGTGCTGGAGCTGACAGAGGGAGCTCACCCACGCTCTCCCCAGATTTGAACCTGCAACCTGGTCTTCAGTCCTGCCAGCACAAGGGTTTAACCCATTGCGCCACTGGAGAGTTGTATATGTCTTTTCACATCTCAATACACACATTCCTCATGGCCTTGAATAATGTGCTGTATTGTCTGTATTTGTTGCTTTTAAGCTTTTCTGTTATGTGCACTTTTAACTATTTCTGTTTCCACTTTCATAAGGCATCTTGAGCCCTAGAGGGGCAAAGAGACAAGATATAAATGAATAAAATAATAAGATATGGATATGACTTATATTAGAGAGTGTACTGTTTAGTAATATTTCAGATACATGAAATGAATTGTAACTTCAATGCCGCACCACTGTTGCCCGTAGTATGCAAATATCATGAAATAGTGCAGCATGGAGTATAGCCCCGTCTACATGACAATTTAATTCATTCAGAAGTTAGCATCAAACTGTAACAGCCAGGCAACAGACTTCCATGAAATCATGTTAAAGAAAGCCCATAATGGACATCAGTTTGCAGAATCACCATCTAGACCTCAAACCGATTACAGAATTTCATATGTATTTTTTACTATTTAGTTACTATATTTCAATCCCGCTCTATCTCACCCCGAGGGGGAGTCAGAGCAACTTACAGTTTGGTAAAATTCAATGCCACATTATACATAAGGGAAAAAGCAGTACATAACATAATTTACTAAAAATCAATAGACAAAGCAATACAAATTAAAACCATTAAAATATATTAAACATATTAAAACATCATAAAATATATTCTACATTGCACCAATTCTATAGTCATCATTTGGCTGCTTCATCTATATCTGTATCATGATTAAATGTTATACTGCAATTCTATCACTCGCTGAATGCCTGCTTACACAACCAAGTTTTAATTTTTCCCCTAAATACCAGGAGGGAGGAGGCCAATCTGATCTCACTGGGGAGGGAGTTCATGTGCACAGCCAAAGCACTTTTTTTTTTTTAAAAAAAAAACTGGTTTGAAAGTGCATTAAATGGTCAGTATAGATGGGGCCTATGTGACAAATACAAACTACAAGAAAGGAGGTTTCATCTGAACATTAGGAAGAACTTCCTGACTGTGAGAGCCATTCAGCCGTGGAACTCTGCCACAGAGTGTGGTAGAGGCTCCTTCTTTGGAAGCTTTTAAACAGAGGCTGGATGGCCACCTGTCAGGGGTGCTTTGAATGCAATATTCCTGCTTCTTGGCAGGGGGTTGGACTGGATGGCCCATGAAGTCTCTTCCAACTCTATGATTCTATGATTTAGTGTACTAGCTTATCTGCAACACAGTAAAGTCCCCTCCTCTCTCTATACACACACATATACAAATAGTACAGTCAGTGTGTGTCTGCTCAACTGATGTGAAGTTTCTGGATTACAGGTATTCATGAGACGCTACTGCTCTATTCAAATCATGCTAAAAAGAAAGCCACAAGCTTACAGACAGCCAGACTGCCAAGGAGCAATAGTAAGTACCGCACATCATTAAGGGTGTTTAATCTATAGTGCAATAATAGCCTCGATGTTGGAAAAAGCAACCTTACAGGCTTCCACTCACTGTTAATGTATAAAATTGCTAACCTGTATTCTATTTGTAAGTTGATTTTCCAGTTTGGTTGACCTCTTTGATGTGGGAGGAGTTATACATGTGGTTATACTGAGCATGTGCAAACTCAGGACTCAATTTTGTGTTTAGTATGCTTTTGAACATTGAAGGTAAATGTTTGCTTTTGGAGGTAGATGCATGCTTATGGACTTCAATATGATAAGTTTGGTTTCAGACCTCATTGGAGGTGGATGTGTGTGCTCATGACCGAATGAGTACAGATATACTTAAAGACACTTAAAAGACTATGTGCTTGTATACTGAATATATACAAATATCTTTGTAAACAAGATATGTTATTTTTCAAATAAGACTGTTTCGTCTCTTGAGTGCATGTTTTAAGGGAGTGTATATCTTTTAGGCAACCGCAATAACAACTGCAAATTCTACTTCAAACAACCATCCTCTGCTAACCAGATATATTTTTGTAGTGGCCTGTCTTTACGGATCTCAGTTTAACAGCTGAGCAACCTGTATGTGCTATTACATTAATACTTTATGAATATGATTTGTCTTAAGGGTTGACTTCTAACAAGGTCGCACCATCCTTGACTTGTGGTTTTCAGGTGATCTCTATGTTCATGGAGATTTTGCCAAATAAAGATAACATCATTTTTACCTTTGCAATAAGATTATTGTGCACTGGAATTTCCCATAGATTATGGACTTTACAATACTCAAAATATATGCAATGGATCTTTGGAATGGCTCTGGATTATGATTGAGGATGGGGTGATTTTAATAGTGAATTCAATGTTTTATATGTTTTAATGTGCATTTAATTTTAATTTTTTAACTTAAGTGTATTTTAACTGTTTGTTGTTCAAAGCCATTGAATAGTTGCTATATGTAAAGCCGCCTTGAGTCCCCTTCAGGATAGAGAAATGCAAGATACAAATAGAGTACATTCTCTGCCCACTTTTCCTACACAGAAGTAAATTAATATTTCTACAAACACTTTTTTATATTTTAGTTTTGGATAGAGTACAGACCTTTCTACCACAGATGGCCAGTGCAAATGACAAGCTAAGGAAACAAATGGACACCACATCCATTGAGGAGTTTGATATTGAACACCTAGATCCTTCTACTGAAAATGTAATTGAAATGGTGAGTGTATTAGTTTTTTTTATTTTTGTAACCTAAATCTTTGTCTTTGTCCCTAATGATGGGGCTGATTGACTTACTGTTCAAATTTTAAAGCAATTTTATTTAAAGCCTGAACTATTAAGAATATAAGCAACATTCTGGATTACACAACAGTCTGTTGAGTCTATCTTGTTTCTCACTCTGGTTGGGTAATTGCCCATGAGAATCTCAAAACGTATATTTTGTCAATTTTCACCACATCAATTTCTCAATGAATTTATCCAGGTCTCTTTTATTTATTCTACATCTTGTGGTCATGAATTTCTTAAGAGCTCTTTATAGTTCTGAGCATTGACATGTAATTTAACTGAAACACTGAACTTCAAAATGTCCTTTGTATTTCTTTGTGGGGGTGGAGTGGGGGGGGGGGTTGCCTTTAAATTGGCCTGCCTTTTAATCTCCAGTTCTCACCTAATGATGTTATTCTAGTAACCCGTTTTCTTTGTTGCAGAATGTGGCTTTGGTTGAACTGGATGATTCTGATACAGAAGAAGAGGATTCAAATTCAGAGGAGGAGTCTGAAGGCGAGGACAGCTCCGTCTGTGATGAAGTGACTGTAGACAACCTCAAGCTCCCAGAATCAAAAAGTGAAGGCAGAATAGAAATCTTGGACAGTAAAAGTGCTGAATAGACATGTCATCATCATTTCAGACCATAATGATTTCAGTGTTCTTTTGGAGAGCTAATCTGTTTCTCGTCATACTGCCTATAGAATAGCTACTGACTGCATTTCACATTTCTGGAAGACATGCAAGTTGTCTTCAATTCTCAAGATAGAAGAGATGAATGATAGTAAGCATATTTTCTTTCAGAATGCCAGCATGGAGGAGAAAATGAGAAAGAAAACACGTAATTGGATGAAAGTTAAGAACTTCTGTCAAGCTAGCTCAGGAATTTTGATTTTTGTCTTGCATTTATTTTTCCCAGTTCTTAAATTCTGTTGCACAGAGATCCCTGGGAATGCTTCTGTAATGCCAGGGAACCACACATCGTTTCAATTGTACCAGTTCTTCAGCCATCTTCTCCAGCCATTGCTTTGAGTATCTAAATCAGAGTTACTAGTCCAGCAAGACGCTCTTATGAGCAGACCAAAAACACTTCAGTCTGCTTTGGCATGAACTATAACTTGGAAGGGAAATGATAGCTCTGTATATGCTGACATAAAACTCCTTTTACTGTGACCATGATGATGTGGGCTGATAGGAGTTAAAGTCCAAAACACCTCAAGCAAAGTGCAAACTAAGTCTAGCTATGGTAGGACTGAAACTCAGTAACCCAAACCAACATAGCCACTAATGATGAATGCTTGAGGCTGCAGTCTTAACTACATCTGGAGAGATGTGTACCGTAATTTGGATCTATGATCCATAAGTTGCCCTTCTATCGAAGAGTTAGCTTTACTTTTACAATAAGGAGAGGGAAGATTTTTATTTCTTGTGGGTAGTAGCTGGTATGCTCAGAACCTTTATAGGTATTTTTTTGGGCACGTGGGAAGGGCCATTGAAATCATGTAGTTTATTTTTCTGGTGTTTGGAAGGCTCATATTTGTAAAAGAGCTTGCCTTATATTTCCAGCCACTTCATCTGAATTCTAGGAGCCGCCAGTGGCGCAATGGGTTAAACCCTTGTGCCAGCAGGACTGAAGACTGACAGGTTGTAGGTTTGAATCTGAGGAGAGTGCGGATGAGCTCCCTCTATCAGCTCCAGCTCCCCGTACCTCCCACAAGGATGGTAAACCATCAAAACATCCGGGCGTTCCCTGGGCAGTGTCCTTGCAAACAGCCAATTCTCTCATACCAGAAACGACTTGCAGTTTCTCAAGTCACTCCTGACACAGAAAAAAACTGAATTCTATGGGATAATTTATTTTGGAAGTATTTAGTCAAGGATCCCTTTCATACCACAAACGTTGATTCCACTTTAACTTCCACACCTATATTGTTTGGATCGGTGGGGTTTATAGTTTAAGGAGGTACTAGAGGCTCCTGGGTGGTACTGAAGGCCTCACTAAACTACAAATCCTAGGATTCCATAGGGTAGAACCATGGCAATAAAAATGAATAAATAGTGTTAAATGTACACTATGCATTTGGGATTATCTTTTCTTAAAGAAACAGATACAATAAGTTTGTTTTAGTAACTGATTTAGAATGCTCTGTATTTATAATTTTGAATATACAAATCTGCTTATGCAATATGCCACTCTTACATTTTGTTATTTTTACAATTCCATAAATAGAAACAGCATGATTTATAGAATTGCTCAGGTCAAAATGTAGTTGTGTCCAGCAACCGGAAGGCTTGCATCAGCATCTCCAATGCAGAAACGACAGACAAGGGTTTGCAGGGGACCCCACTCACTGCGTTGCCACTGCTGCCTTTTGACCCTGCTCTGCAGACATGTGCTTCAGCTGCTCTGTGTTGGAGTCATCAGGGCCTTTCTGTTAATGATCAGAGAGAGCAGCCATTTAACCACATAGTCCAGTGGTTCTCAGTGGCCTTCAGTTCCCAGAAATCCTAACAGCTGGTAAACTGGCTGGGATTTTTGGGAGTTGTAGGCCGAAACCCCTGGGAACCCACTGACGTAGTCGAAGGTGAAGGCCTCTGCAGGCCACTGAGTGAGCTCCGTGGGATTGGCGCTTAAGATGGCCTACTGCTGCTTCATCTCAAGCTGCATAATGAGGCAGTGGGGCATAAAGTTGATTTTGACATAATCTTTGAAAGTCCATGTTGGCTGTACTCATCTGCAGGGCCATCTCCAGCAAAGCCTCCATCTGGATGAGGATGATGTCCTCCATGGGCTTCTTGGTCAGGACTAAGTAGTGGATGTAGAAGTCCCTCTGGTTCATTAGGAAGTAGTGCTTGATGGAGCATAAGTGGGCCACGAGCTCCTTGTCTTCCATAAGGAAGTCCAGGAGGACCTTAGTGGCATAGCTCTAGACCTTCTCAATCTTCATGTACTCCCACTCCTTCAATGTGTAAATGACCTCCTTGGCAGCTCCCGTTCTTGCCACACTCCTGGACTGGTAGGATCTCGAAATAAAGGATGCTGTTGGTCTTGGTCAGGTAGAGGCAAAGCTTATGCAATATGCAAAATCATTTTTATTTGAAATTAGTTTATATTGTGAATTTTAAGTATAATTGTTCAAATAATAATAATAATTGTCTTCCGCCCTATTTCCCCGAGGGATCTCAGTGTGGATTCCAGCATACAAACACAAATACCAGTGCCTAGAAACAACCATAACACAGATAAAGGTAAAAGACTCCCCTTCTGGCTCTGGGGGATGGTGCTCATCTCAATTTCTAAGCCAAAGAGCCTGTGTTCTCTGTAGAAGCCTAAGCCATGTGGCTGGCATGACTGCATGGTGCACCGTTAACTTCCCGCCGAGGTGGTACCTATTGATCTCACATTTCCATGTTTTCAAACTGTTAGGTTGGCAGAAGCTGGGGCTAATAGTGGGAATTTACATCATCCATTGCACCACCGCAATCTTAACTGGTTGGCAAAAAAAAACCAACTCTTAATCTGCCGTTTTAGGCATTATTGCAAGTACAATTGAACAAGAATGGCTTGTTTGTGAATAAATAAATAAATAATATCTGGCCATTAATTTTACTATGGAGTTGGATGAAATTTCAGAATATTGTGCAAGTAAAAAATGAGACATGGTGTAGTGGGTTGAGCACTGGACTGCAACTAAAGACCAGAGTTTGAATCTTTACTCAGCCATGAAGCCCACTGGGTTAGCTTGGGTAAGTCACACACTCTCAGCCCACAAGCAGTCAATGAAAGCTCTTCTGAACAAATCTTGTCAAGGAAACCAGTGATAGGTTTGCCTTAGAGTTGCTATAGGATGGAAATGTCTTTAGTCACACAACAGCAACAAAACAAAGGTTAAATATTTTCAATATCATTAAAATAGGTCTGACTTTAGAGTGCCTATGGAAAACTTGATTTGGCCTAACATTTTTTTAAAAGGTGTATGAAACAATGAAGGGCAATTATAGCTGTTTCTTAAATGACCAAAACATTGTAGAATCTAAGCAATGTAAGAGAGCAATCAGTAGAACATGGATTGGGACTATTTGGCCCTTGAATTCTTTTTTTTTTTTTTTTTACAGGCTAAGTAGCATTTAATAAAGATTTAATGTCCTTTCTGACTTTTAAAACTTGACAAGCAGAAGACATAAGAGCTCCATACAGAGGAGCAACCAGACACGTAAAGCAGTGAAGGTTTAATTCTTTTTTTTTTTCTTTAACTAGATCTTTATTAAGAAAACGTGGAGTAAAATAAACTTGTTCTTTTGAGTGATTTCCTTCTCATATGCAGTTCTAATATATTATGTGCTGCTGTTACTCCTCTTCTTACATATAAGACCCAAGGTGTATCAATTGAATGTCATGCTTATTTAAAGTATACATCAAAGCACATCACATATAACCAATCCTCTGCATGTCAATGTGGAAATATGTCCCACAGTATTATATTCAGTTCAATTTGACTTTTTCTCAGGTCACTTGTTCTAGTTTGCAGGCTTACATCTTTTTTTTTTTTTCTTCTTTTTTTTCTAAATTAATTTTTTTTTAATTTTGTACATCAACCTCTTTAACATGTTATTTTATTATTTTACTCTAACATTTCTCCCCCTTTTTTCTCAT